GACTGAAGAGGGCACTTTGAGAAACTAACAAACAAACCAAAATGAACCATGTTTGTCAAATCAATCCAGTTTAATAGTTTTAGCGTCCACGAGTCTCCTGTTGCTCAGTGATAGAGCATCTGGACTAGTCGGTAACCAGAAAGTCATAGGTTCCACTGCTGTTGGGAGCACTCGGAAATTTTCTTTAATCCGAGCCGCCTGTGTCACTGACTGAAAAATCATCTTTTTTATGTACTCACCAGGCTTAAAATTCACCATCACTAGTCTATCATTACGCATAAATAATGTTGTTTTGTCCCTTTCCTTTCATGAGGTATTTTAAAAGTTTTCTGTGCCTTACCATTTTTCTTGAACAGACCAGACGATATTTACCACGTAACTATTATGCCTTGTTATGATAAGAAACTTGAAGCTTCCAGAGAAGATTTTTATAACGACATATACAAAACCAGAGATGTGGATTGCGTTATTTCTTCACGTAAGTTATTGGTTAGCATAATAAACCACTCTTAATTCAGAAGAAAAACAACCACAACAACTAAAGAAAAACAAGGGTCTCCTATGGTTGGAGATGAGAGTTTGACGAAAGTCTCGTTTACTATCAGTTACTTTTATCAGCCAAGCTGAACATTGTAGATTGTGCATGGGTATTTGCTGGAATACAAACTGGAAATGGGAATCATTACGAAACCACGACAACGAAGAAAGTGAACCGTTACTAACGTGTATTTTAATTCTTTCTTTTAAACTTCATCTTGATTAATTCAATTCGCTCAATGTGTCAATTTTAGCGAATCCGAGGTGAAAAAGAGCGAGAAAAATTCATCCCCTTGTGTTCTTGTCCTCCAGAAGACGGTGCATTAGGAAATTTCATTACGTAGTTGAGCAGAGGACTTCAAAGAAATGTACTGAAAATAACGTGTTGCCGTTTTACATGTGCAGATTTGTTGTTTTGCTTAGAGCGATTTTCGTGTGACCATGAAATGAAAACGCGCAAACAAAACAGAAACAACAAATGAACGAATATAGAACGATTTGATTGTTTTATCGAACGGATACAAACGCGCGTGGCTTTTGGTTGGTTAAGCGAACGCTCGGCTGATTTTTTTCTCCTTTTTCCCCCAATGCGGAGCCTGGTCCCAGGCTAGACGTGTTCGTTGCCGTTGCCGTCGGTCCAGCGTCGTTTCGCACGCTCCTTGATGTCAGGTATAAATCCTCTAAAGTAAAGTTCCTGGACAGCAGGTGATTGTGGATGAATATGGGTTCCATTTATTGCTTCTTAGGCTATTAACCCATGTGTAATTCAATTTCTGTTTCTTAGTTGAACTTGAAAAGATGTTTGAAGAAAAAGAAGTTTGCTTTACAGAGCTCGAGAATGCGCATTTAGATAATCTGTAAGTCTACCATCGTTTTCTTGTGGTGTGACTCTTTCTTTTTAATTTTCTTTTCTTTTTTGTTGTTGCTTTTTAAATCTGAAAAAGCCCTCTCAAATTTGTCTCTTTTTTTCTGTCATGCTTTAGATTCTCAAGTGTTGACGGAGATGAACTTGTTGGCCATTCTGGCGGTGGTTCGGTAAGAGTGGTTTTTTAACCCTTTACTTAACGCTAAGATCAAAATTCATTTCTCATTTGTTGCCCTATTCACTTCTTATAGAAGTAGCGAGGAGAACATATTCAACTTCACGGCCAAATATAAAATCCCAGCAGTATCCAGCCAGGGTGTCTGTTACAATTATCCCATTGTTCAGTTTTCCGGTAGATCTCTTGTGGGTCATTCGAACTAACGTGATATTCGAAAAGCTACAAACTCGACTGATCATTCGGATCATTTCAGCTAACCCGACAAAGAAGTTTGTGACTTTTCGTAAATCTCAATTTGTTCAAAATATTTAGACTCAAGAATGTCCGTATGTTTTGTCCTGTTTCACCTAGGAAGAATTGTGCTGTGTTAATATGATTTCACTTTATTTTAGGGAGGTTATCTGGAACATATCTTCACTTTTGCAGCCAGAGAGGCAAGTTGCAACTTATTAGTTTGAGAAAAATTAGAGGATCGTTACACTCCTAGCAATTTTATAAATTCTTGGCCATGTTTCCACTTAACGGTAAAGAACTGTCCCACATAGTAAAATAAAAACCCTCTGAAGTTTGACCACGGGGGAAAGGATATCAGGAAGATAACTTTTTTCCTTTTTAATTTTCAATGTTTTTTAAACTTTTACAGCTACAGAATCTCTGTTAAGTTACGGTAGTCTTCCACGCAGACGTTCTTAAGAACTTCGTCACCCGTTCTTTCACGTGGGAAAGAGGCAGGAAAAAGGCGGGAAAAAGCGGCCGAAGCGTTTTCCTTGAACTTCTTTCCACCTCCCATCGACGCCCACGCACTTTCCTTTCGCCTCTCCCCAGTCTCCCATCGGCACAAAGAGGCGCCAGTGGAGGAAGGAGTTGTAGCAAACAAAAATTCAAATTTATGAAATTACGGGATTGGATGGCATGCTCAAAAAGAACAAGATGAGCAAAGGCTCCTTGCCAAAAATCAGCCCTTTAGTGCAAATTGTTTATGCTCTGATGACTCCAATTCTTCTAAAATTGGTTTGTATCGTAACGTTTACGATCCAGGTCTACGTTGCATAAAACCTTCTTAAGACAAGAGGGCTCTTAACTCTTGTTCTGGAACAATCCCTTAATCTTAAGATGTCTTTTGTAACCCGGCCTATTTTAGAAGGATTTATAATTGTAGTCATTGGAGCATAAAAATGCTTATGTCTCCCCGCCAACTTACACTAACAGGCTAAATTTTGGCAAGTGAACATGTCTCATCTTATTCTTTCTGGGTATGCCACCCTCTCCCATAATTTCACAACTGTAATTTTTGTGACACCATTACTTCTCGTGTTTGTTGTTCATACTCACTTGGTGTTGTTTCATTAGTTGTATGGCAGGACGGTAGATGATATCACTTACAAGACACTGAGAAATAAAGACTTTAAGGAAGTCACTTTGCAGGTACAGCTATTGTTTAGAATTGGTTACGACCGGAACAGTTCAATGAAATTTTAATTTCCCGCGCCGTAGCTGTTGCTTTTAAATTCCACAACAATATTACACTTGTGAAAGCTTTTTTGAGGTGACTTTTGGCAGAATGATAGTGATCATCCGTTTTTACTCGTGCAAGGTGGACGGTCAAGATGTCCTGAAATTTGCAGCAGCGTATGGATTTAGAAATATTCAGGTACGTATATTGTGCCATGTCGCTAGTAATTTGCGCAGTAGTTAGCCAATCTTTTGTAAAAAGAAAATTCTGTTATTGTTTCTTTATTCTTCATTCCAAAAACTATGAGGAGAATGGGTGAAAGCTGTCCGCTCAATGATATCTAAGATCTTTGAATACCATCGACCAATCATAACAACGCTTGTCCACCGAAACGATCCCAGAAATCACTGGGGCCAAGGCTTGTTCCCATTCTCCCTGGAGCTTTTATAGTGGGAAATTTCAACAGCTCATTTTGTATGAACGTGAATATAGCGAGTTAAACCTGTTAAACTTGTTTTGTCTTGCGTAACCAGGTTATGCTTAACCCGTCTTTACTGCCTATTAATTACTTTTTGTTCGTCTGTTTGTAGAATCTTGTCCAAAAGCTTAAGCGTGGTAAATCTCCTTACCATTTTGTGGAAGTTATGGCCTGCCCATCAGGTATGACTCGCAATTTATTTCAATTGGGTGGGTTACTATAACCATTGGTGTGTATGAAAGTGTATAAAAATCAAAGTGAGCTTTGAATACCATTAAAAATGAACCTTTCATCGTGGTACGGATTTTTTAAACTTATCTTGGGGCGTTGTTAAGTTCTCGTAAACACGCACTTTCAACTCAAAACTATTTCCTTTCCGTCTGTTAAAGACTTTTAATTACAGTTAGGCTACGTTCTTACGTAGACTGTTCACAGTCCCATATTTTTCCGTAAGGTCGTCAAGCGCTTTGCGTTACGGGCAGCGATCGTGGATGAGTGTCAAAACTACTTAAGGTACAGGAGGCGGTTTGGGAGGAAGCGCCTCCTAACCAGTTTTGGCACTTATGCAAGATGGCCGCCTTTAACGCAAAGCGCTCGATCTCGACGATCTTATGGAAAAATAGGGGACTGTGAACAGTCTAGTTCTTACAGCCCCGGACGAATTTTCTTCCGGTTTATAAAAACGTCACCGGACGCTTTCCTCACACGGGACCGTTTAATATTTACGTTCTATTCACGCGGAACTTGGCGTCTAAATTTTCGTATACGCCCTTGTTAAAGTGGTGCCGTATGAAGAGAACACCAAAACACACGAATTTTTAACCGATCGAAAATTTGTCCGTTGCCTTGTGAAGGCAACCTTAATCAGCCTGTTAGTTCAGGTGTCCAGTTAGTGGGGAGGCGAGCAAAAAGAAAGGCATAAACATTAGCGATTATCGTTCACGTACAAAACATATAGACAAAAAAGTAAGACGTCTTTAGTCACTGGCGCCCTTGAATGCATAAGACCGCTCATCTCCGAAAGTACCGCTCTCTAAACTTGCCACGTATTTGTCTTACCCCGCCTTGACTACTGTAGCTTTGTTTGGTGGTGAAATCAACGCAACTCTGAATGAGCAATAGCTACAAGACTCCAAAATATGGCTGCTAAATTGGGCTGATGAAGGCGAAAAGATCAATTTAGGTTTCTGGGAAACTGCCCACCTACCCCTCCCCTAAGCCATCATTTTACCTTAAGTGAGAAGTAAGTGTTAATGTTAGCTTAGGGGAGGGGTATGTGGGCAGTTTCCCAGAAACCTAAATAATTGATCCAGTGTAAATGTTTTCTGTTTGTCTTATTTTCTGTTACAGGTTGTCTCAATGGAGGTGGCCAAATAAGACCTGGAGACGGGGAAACGTCAAAAGAATTGTTGAGTAGATTGGATGAACTTTATAATTCACTCAGGTATCAACGGCTAGTTGTTTTTTCGTTTGTCACTGCATTTATTTTCTCTTGGCCATTCAAACTTCAGTAGCTCTGACCCGCAGTTATTGAGTACGCTGGAGGTTCTTTGACACGGCTTGGACTCAATCGATTTTGAATGATGATAAGTTACAAGTGGGTTGACACTCGTAGTCATGCAGCAACGACTAAGAAATGTATCAAAAATTGCGACACACGGGCTTAGTTGTTGCCCTGCTTCCAGCTGTGCTTACTCTTAAGCTATCGCTTTTTCATTTTCTCTTTACCGTCGCCGTTGCTAAAGCTCCTTACTAACTCGCGCAAGACAAATCATTACCAGAAACGGTTTCGAGGCAATCATTATTAGTTTGCCATTTCTTTTCAGTCCAAAATGCGACATTTTTCTTTTTTTATAAACGCTAAACCTTATTTTTTTGTCTTTTTCGTATTACAATTTTGGAGTGGGTGCTAACGTTAATTGTGTTTTCGCTTAGATCAAGAAAACCAACTGAAAATCCAGCAGTGGAAAGGCTGTACGAGTGAGTACCTACAGAAGTCCTTTCAAATTTATCTGTTGGTTGTTTACGAAAATAATAAATAAATTATATCCAGGCTTTATTTGTATGTTGTTCTTGCCAAACTACTCTTTTTATACTTCTTTACATTTTTCAGTGAATGGCTAGGCGGGGAATCTTCTGAGAAGGTAGGAATATTCACGTTAGTTTCATGAGAAAGAGCAACTGCTGACAATTGAACTATATAGTTTTAAAAAAAGGGAGTGTAAACCTCTCATTTTTATGTTTTTGTCTTCTTTTATCGAACATTCCTGAAGTTCTGTCATGTCACAACTAATTCATCTTGTTCATATACTCAGGCAAGAGAGATGCTTCACACAAAATACCACGAAGTAGAAAAATTAAACACGGCACTCAACATTAAGTGGTAACGTTGGATTAAAGGTGAATACTGACATGTCATCGTCTCACGTGGGTTAATAGACGGAATAAAACACCGGTGATAAGACAAGAGAACTGCCTTTTTCAGATTGAACAGGGCGATTGTGTTGGGGACTGCCCGGGAGGATGCTTCTGCTACAGATAGGAAAGTGAAAGTATCGGCAGACCGACCTTACATTATATCATCTCGTGCTGTTGGAAGCAGGAGAGGACCCTGGGAACTAGGTCAGAGTTGCCTCATATAAGGGAATCCAAGACAGTATTGGATTCTGGATTCCTTGTCACTGGAGTTAGTTTGGATTCCAGATTCAAGTGGTTCGCTAGATTCCACATTTCAAGAGCTGAATTCCGGATCCCACAAGTATGACGACCAGCACTTCCGGGAAATTCATTAAGTAAACTTCCACCAAGATTTGTCATTGCATAGGATTGCTATGAAGCTGATTGAACCTTCCACTCATGTTCAAATAATGGAAGTTGAACGTTTACCAACAAATAACTTGACACGTAGGGCAAGTAAACGTGAAAAATACATGGCGCTCATTTTCATTTTAAAATGTGATCATTTCTCCGGTATGGAGACTAAACAAACTCTTGAAAGAAAGGACTGAACATGCGCCATGCGCATCTATCATTTCGCTGGACCTAATTCACCTATGGGCCGTTTTTATACTTTTGACGCCTTAGGGACGTTATTAAAGCAAAAGTAGTTTCGAGCGACGCACGTCAACCGGAGGTGACGGTACCAAATTGTATTTCTTAGTGTCTTTACTCGCATACAGATGATTTGCCCGAAAAGTTGGTCAAAATCACTCCCCAAGATTGCAAAAAGTCCACTTCCGGTTGACTTGCGCCGCTCAAAAACGTCGTTGCGTAAACTCTGTATTCCTTCCGCACGAACTTGGGCAAACTCTTGACTTAGACTACCTTGAACATTTAATACCATAATCACTGGATTAAACGCCACGGTGTTTGTTAAATTTTACGCGTTTCTAACGGGGTATTTATTTCAAAATCGCATTTCTTTAATCACTGACAAACATTGCGGTAAATAATTTGTAAATACTGTGTGAAACAGAAAGGTGTTTAAAGTTCCACTCTCGCCTATTGTTGCTGAGATCTAGTTGTCTGAATGGTGTAGATTTCCGAGTTGTACCAAGCTTTTTTTCTATAATCCTCGAAAAAACGCAGCATCCTTCTAATTGGGTGCGGCGATTAATCGAGGGCGGCGTTTAAAGAGTAATTACGGTAACGGTTTCCATTCTAAACATGCGAGCAATGTCAGATTGAGAATTATAAGAAAGTAAAACACCAAGCTGAACAATTTAATAGAATTCTACTAGCTGAATTTAATAACGTCACTGACTGAAATAGCTTGGTATACGATAAAATGTCCGAAGCATCAGATATACGGACACCTATTTATTGTTGACCTCAAAGCCTTGCAATTGTACTAACACTCATAAGTAGTAAACAAATTCAACACACCCTTTATCTTAAATAACTGGGACAATTTTTCGGATAAAAGACAATAATGCGTGGATTGAAGACCCACTAGTTATTTAAAAAGATTTTATGCTAAGCTGTAAAACTGTACTCTTGAAAATAAAGTCATTGAGTAAATCATCAATTTTCGTAGATTCTTTTTTTAAAAAAATATATAATGAAATAAAATATTGTTCTGCCAATGGCTGGTATTTTAAAATAATAAAAAAAATCGTATATCAACTCCTCTCCCATCTGCAAAACAGAAAGAAATCTCGCTACCCTCAGTAACGTAAGAATTGCTAAATAGCTCTAGCTCTAAAACTTATGATGGGCGGCCAACATACTAAAATTCTATCTAATTTTTGTGCCAAAAAATGTATACAAAATATTGATAAAAATATTCTAAACTGGAAACAGATACAGGAATTGGGTAGAAAAGTGTTGCAAAGGTAAAAAACTCTTCGAAAAATTTGAAGTCGGTGTCGAGAAATCAATTAGAATTCTTATGAAAAGTAGGATTTTTTTATATTATCTTGCGTTCCGGCGTTAGTTATCTTTTTCCTTCTATTTTGATACCACTATCAACATCCTGATTTCGGCCTTGAGACTGTCTCCTCAAGTGCTATGAATTCAACTTTTTTGTCCTTTAACGGCGCTTTCAGCGAAGTATGTCTAAAGGATTACTGTCAAGAAGTAATCTGTTCCAGTTTACTTGACGTAAGGCAAACAGCCATATCAAGAAAATTTCATTGTTTTTCAAGAACATCTAAACTTCACAAAAGCGTCGAAGACCATTAAATTAGAATAATTCTTATTCACCTAACTGGGTTGATGACTGTTTAGAGGAAGAGATAGACGTTTAGAAACATCTGCTAAAAGTTGGACCGTGGTGGTGGGTGTTTCTATAGGAACAACTTTGTTAATGTCTGTGAGTTTCATCACCGGGGTGTTAAACTGAAGGTGGGCCAAACTTCCAGATACTGGAGAAGAAGAGAACATTTCAGCGCTGCTAAGGTGATGCATGGTTGGAAGTTGAATGGTTAAGGCTTGATTCGATGGGATTGCGTTACCCGAATTTACTGGTTGGTTTGCCGCCAATGGTTGCTGGACGTCACCCATTGTCACGCAAGGTGTCGTGAATTCAACTACTGAAGACACTTGGGACAAATCCACATTACCAGGCTCTGGAGTAGGAGTGAGAGACCTGGGACTATACAGCAGTGGTGTGTTGACTGTTTGCCCCATTACCTTGATTAGCTGGTCAGGAGAAGGCGTGGAATTGCCCGAGGGAGGTGTGGCTGTGGCCCAAAGGACTGGCCCTCCGTTACCCGGTTGGGCAGGAATCTGAAGGAAGATAGTGTTACTAGGACACGCGTTGTTAACTTGAATGGGGCGTTCAGTGGCTGGAAGAATAGGAGTCGGCGTCAACGCGTGCGGATTGGACATGGAATTTAGTGCACAGTTGTTCTGAAATTGAATGGGCGAGGGCGTGGAAGAAGCCTGACGGGAGCTTTGTAAAGATCCAGGGTCTTTCCACGGGGACTTTAACTTGCGGTAATAGCTAAGTGGTTTTAGAGGGCTTACGTCGTCGATAAGACTCGCCTGAATGGCAACTGAAGACTGTTCTACAAGCTCATCATAAGGTAACGGAGACGACGATTGGTGTACCATCATAGGACGGCTTGGTCCTGGGTTAGGAAATGCCTTCTCTAACTCACGTTCCATGCGTTTCCACCGCTCATCCTGTGAATCAAATCCTCGTTGCTCTTCTAACAGTTTCTGTTGTTTCTGTCTCTCCAGTAGAATCTTTTGTTCAGGAGAGGAATGATCAAGAGAAGCCTTTGGAGTTGATTGTTTTGGGCTGCAGAGCGTAAGATCTCTTTTTCCATCGTCAATGCTTTTGAACGGCGAAGTGGATGAATGTGAAAATCCGTTGTCGGTCTTCTGCTGGATTGTCGAAAAATCGTCGGCGCTTCGCCTTCGCTTGGGTTCTGGAGCATCTTCAGGTTCTGCTGTACCAGAGATAAACAGTGACCGCCGACTTTTTCTGGCATCAAAATCATCCGAGTGTCTGCACGCAGACAGCAGCTGTGACATTCGTGAGAAGAGTTAAGGGTAAAAAGAACCAAAAATAATCCAGAAAGGGTACATTAAGTTTGCAAATGATCTCTCGGGTTGAAAAAGCCGTTGATAATCATGAGTTTGACAAATTAAGTACCGATAAATCTTCAACATCGAGAGCAAATTCTCCACTATGAACCCGTTGACACGGGTCTAGTCAAATTTTGAACGGGCGAATTTTTCACCTGTGCAACCCGTTTACACGCTATCGCGAAAATTCTGTAATCAAGGCTGTCACTAAGATTTCAAGTTGCCAGGGAAATACAACAAAGTAGGCGGGGAATCAAACAGCTAGGGATTTCTTTAAGTGGGCCACGTTCATAGTAGCCGGTGAATATCCCTGGCCCCCGTCTCTTAATAGGGAACTTAAGCACCAGACGTTTTTCGGGCGACGGCGACGTCTACAAACGAGCGAGCCTGGGTAAGAGGGCGCCGTCGTTCCCGCCAAAATCCAAACTTAAGCAAAGAAGTATTTTTGCGACG